TTCACCTCGAAATTTCGACTGCACTTTTCTGAACTACTTTTAACTAACTCTCATCAAATTCCAATAGACAATAGTTTTTAGTTCATGCTTGCAATACAAAATATCAGAAAACTTCTATTCTATTGCCAAGATCTTGCCAGATACTAGTGTCATACAATGGTGAAAAAATTTAGATATTGAGAAACTTTAAAATAGGAAGTCGAATATAAAAACAGTACTATTTTTTCAAAACTTATGAATTGTAAATGAATCATATCATTATTGCAAAAAGTCAGCCAAAGCATATTATAGATGTTAGCTGCTGCGACTTACTAGATGAAATATTTGAAAGAAATTTTCGTTCGTTCTTAATGTTAGCCCATATGAAACGTGACAAACTAATTATAGGAGTTGTTCCTATTAGAATCTTCAAGGTATATATGAGTTTTACATTGTATATCTTCAGAGAACTGAAGTAATAGACTGTTTCTCGAAAGAATTGATTGCTTAATTGATATATTAGGAGCATCAGTTTTTCTTCGACTGAGTCAATAATTTCAACAGACCAGTCCCGTCTGGTCGAAAAAAGTCTGACCGATTCCAAATATGTATGTGACTTATTATTACAGTGTTGAATATATTCTACATAAAAAATAACATGGTAAAAGCCAATAAAGATTTACAGTAAAACTTCTATTAGTGAATACCTACCATAGGTGAACAGCTTCGATTTAGAACAAGATCTTCGTTCGACGGAGCCATTTTTGCTGGAAATGCATATCCCATAGGTAAACACATTCCTACTGTAAACATGAAGACTGTTTTTACGGCCCCAACCTCTACTTTAATCTCTCTTAGACGAACACATGTGAATTTTTTTCTCTCTTTTCTCCATCGACTCTGAATAATGCGCAACTGTACATATTAAGTGAACAATAGTGATAATGATCCACTACAATGTAAATTAGCTGAAAAATAGAATATTTCGTTTGGTTATATCAAATATGTTTACATGAAAAAAAGAATATTTTAATGATTATCAAGCGTATCAGAATCAAAATATTAAACAAAAACGTAAAAGTTTTGATTCAATAAAATAAATACAAAAAACTATAGGGAACTTATAAAAATAGAGCTAGATTTTTGTCTTTTTTGGAAAGTTTTAGATTTGCACGAATTTGAATGAAACAATATGAACAAAACAGAAAGTGATCTATAATTGCGTGGGAACCAGAAGAGAAGCTCATATTCTGGAAATGTATCTCACTTTTGGTAAAATATATTACGTCTCCCATAGGTGAACACTTTTTAAAAGTCCTCATGATGTTCATTTAAGAGGAATTTTACTGTATCTTATTCGATGCTAATCACGATCTACTAATTACCTGTTTAACCGAACTATGTTCTTAATAAAAGAATTGTAATGGATAAAATGCATGAAACCGTCGCTTGCAGAAATGTCAAGAGCAATGATTGTATTTTAAATAATTGAGTTTTACTTTAAGAAGATGATGCTAAATTTGTTGATGTATGGACCCATTGAAAGTGTATGAAGAATATTAAAGGAAAAAGTAAGTGTTGAAGAATTCTCATGCTTTAAAGAAATAAAAACTAACGCATTGCACGAAATAAGAAAAACTTGTAATGGTTAATTGAATTTCTAAGAAATTTAGCGAATTAACACAATGTAGTAGACAACAGTTACATAATAATTCAACGAATCTTTTGTGCAATCAGATTAATATAAGAGTGTTTGTTGCTTTTTTTAAATAAAATAACATGTTGATCGATTACAAAAAATTTGGTTGTATGCCTCATAGCCGAAAAATAACATCGCCGAAACAAACATTATCGAAAAGAAAGATCGCCGAAATCAAGATTAACGAAATACAGATTGTCGATACGAAGTTCATCGAAATGCAGATCACCGAATTCATTTCGATCATCTACTAGCTTATTAGAGTTAGCAATGAATCAAGTTCGTGACTAATTTCACGCGGTTCCTAAGTAAAGCTAGTAGCTGACATGGTCAACTTGATCCCTAACTTGATCAAGTTAGTCACTACCTTGATCCCTAACTTGATCAAGTTAGTCACTAACTTGGTTCCTAACTTGATTCCTAACTTGATCAAGTTAGTCATTAACTTGATCCCTAACTTGATTCCTAACTTGATCAAGTTAGTCACTAACTGGATCCCTACCTTGATTCCTAACTTGATCAAGTCAGTCACTAACTTGATCCCTAGCTTGATCAAGTTAGTCACTACCTTGATTCCTAGCTTGATCAAGTTAGTCACTACCTTGATCCCTAACTTGATCAAGTTAGTCACTAACTTGGTTCCTAACTTGATCAAGTTAGTAACTATCTTGATTTCTAACTTATTGTATCACTCACTTAAGTTAGTTGTTAACTGGTAGTTCGATCATTTGCATAAAAATTGCCGATAGTTATATCGCCGACAGTGACACCGCCGAAAATACAGATACTCGATAGTCACATTGCCAAAATGGTACTTTATCGAAATGCAGTTCGCCGAATTTCGGCGATCTGCATTTCGACGAAGTGGCTTTCGGCGAAGAGCACACTGACCAAAAATTTATCCTAACATTCCTATTGAGAGAAGATATTATCCAATAATATAGGTCATTTGAAAGACTGACATAAGCACTCAAGACTCGTAGAAAAACTTTCGGTTAGAAGTTATTTTCTGTCTGAATATGAACAATAATTTTGTCACGCCTCAAGACTTATGAAATGTCTTTTATGTGCAATTGAATATAAGAATTTTTATTAATATAATGCAGTATTAATTTTTCTTTTTAAATGAAAAATACTGATGGTGATCATAACTATTATATAAATTTATGCTCCCTATCAACTGGTTTGAAATTTTTGATCTCGTGCTGACTCAATAAAAATTACATACTTCGAAAGAGTATAAAAATCTAAGCAAAACGTTGTCATTTTCTGAGAGGCGAATTCCCAAGTCTTCAGAAAAAAAAATTTTAAATACATTTTCCAATAGAAACAATAAGGATCTTTCGTTCTCTCAATCTCTCTCTCTCTCTCTCTTTCTGAATGACCTACTCTTTTCGTAATAGGCACTTCATCGTTCCACTTGACGTGCATATGAAAGTATAAGCTTGTACATATACTACATGTCTAGCTGAGAGGGAAAGAGAAAAACAATTCTTGTCATATTGCTCGTGATGTTGATGATGATACCTGAGTTTAATTCAGAAACAATTAACAATTCAAAAAAATCCTTCTGCACAAAAAAAGACACTTATACGAAATAATATTTGATTAATAATTTGAGAGAAATGTTTATTTAAAAACAGTATATTTCAAGCATTATTTATTTGTTCAAAAGTATTTATTGAGTTTCTCACTATTTTATTTTTTTAATTGATTCAACAAAAAAGCTGACGATATCTTAGGTAAGGATTCTACATTTTCCTGAATGAATTCGCGACAATGTGCTCTCCAGATTAGACACCCAGCTATCCAAGTAGAACTCGATGAGCTCTATCAGATGCACATCTCATCATCCCGAAAAAATGACTCCGTTCTCGAAAAAACCGCAAAAAAATCCTTATACAAAACAATACAAATCTGAAAACATCGTCGCGATTCGCCCAGAAGTGCTCTCCAACAAGAACACGTGGCTCTTCAGATAGATCTCGACGAGCGCTATCCAATGGACACATTATTCATTAAATTTGACAACTCAGTCGGGGTGAAAGGCGCTAATTAGTGCTTAATTAATTAATTTTTTTAATTAAACTCAGCATGATTCGTTTAGAAGGACTCTCCAATAGGGAAACGGAGCTCTCCAGATAGGTCTCAATGAGCTCTATTTGACGCATATCATATGAGCCAGCTGTGGCATTATGATGGTAAAAAATTCTCACATGAGAGCCTTTTTTTGCGTTTTTCCTTATTGAAATGGTGTCCATTTTAATCCAAATACTTTTCAACAATATTTTTACAGTTCGTCGTTGCTTCGTCGAAGTCATTGACGCAGGTTCTTCTTGCCGGTAGCAGTGATCCTGTGAGGCTGATTAAAATGGCATAAAAGGGCGTTTACTCTCAATTGTACCGTGGTATTTGATCTCGGCGTATTTCGTTCTATAGTCTGAACGAAGAGCTTCGCCAGGCAGGCATCGTCGATGAAATATCGATAGTCGATCATTTCATAGGTGTAAATGAGATCATTCCTTAGGTGTTAGCTAAGTAGGATTCCGTTGCCAAAGGATCTTTTCTACAGCTATAGATTGTTGATAACAATCTGTGGTTTACACAAATATATATTGACTTCCTCTTACTTTCTACAAAGTTCTCGGAACAACCTTTCAAACACTTCTAAAAGTACATGCTTTCGGAAAGGTTGCTTCGAGAAGGAGCAAGAATTTTTGCATTCTACTGTAGGTGTTCTTCCATTCGTAAAAAAAAATCTGAATTATACAACAGTCAGAATCGTATCTAGTAGGATTTTTTCTTACTGGCGCTGATCTAAACGATTGCAGAGGTCAGTAAGTCAGCATAAATTATTTGTCACTTTCGAATCCTAAAATAGTCCTTTCAGCCTTTTAATCACTAGAGTTATGATGGAAGAATCCTATTCTAGAACTATAACACTATACACTACGTATTTATTTTCAGAAGTTTTCTTTCTTTGATTTTCTATTGATGAATAAAAAACTTCATAAGACGATAGATTTTACAACATAGCGTTATACATTGATTGTATGTTTGTTAGATACAAGTTTAGAATATACCAATAGTCTTACTTTTATGAGAAACCTGGAATATTTCGCAAAGGATGATATTAAAATATATAGTGGTTGATTATAAAATAGTGAAATGATGTTAAAGTAGCATTTATTTCTAAATGAAAAAATACCTGTATGAAAATGTGTTTTAGTTCGTATAAACCGTACATATCAAATTTAATTCCTTTATTCTCAATGTCGTTCGTATCTTTCAACTGGAATAATCGATAAAAAATTAACTCGCAATGAAAAAAACAGAAAATAGTTCATCTAATGTTGCAGCCAAAACTCCATCAGATGCAGGAAATGATTCAAAAAGCCGTATACATTCATTTATTCGTTCAGCTGTACCAAGTTCTCAAATAAAAACATTTGCCAAACGACCATCACAAGCAGAATAAGGCACTGTACATTAATTTTATCTAATTGAATTCAATTTCATTTTATTTTTATTTTAGCTGATCAACAAATTAATCTTTATACAAATCATTTTCAAATCAAATTTTCTAAACAAGCAAATGAAATAATTCTTGATCGATTTGATATTGATGTTGAACTTTTCATATAGGATGGTTCATGGTGTTCATTTAAAAAAAGATGAATGTTTAGAAGTTCTTCAAACAATTATTGAACAAGAGCATTTTCTACTTGTTTGATATGATGATGGAAAATATTTATATGCAATCGAAAATTTAACATTAAATTTTAAAAATAAATATTAATGTGAAATTAATCATAAGAAAACTGGAAAAAAATGATAAATTCCGATTTTTAATTAATCTTGTTAAAATTTATGAATTACAAAGTATTTTTGATTTTATTGAAAACCGAACCTCAGAGAACCACATGATCTTGTTAGAGTGCTTGAAATATTATTTAAACAGACACAAAGATCTAACATGATTACCATTGAAAAGCAATCATATCGAAAATATCAACGATTATATGATCTAGGTACAACGAAGAAATCGAATTTCACATGTTTTTAAATTAAAGTTTTGTTTTGTTGTAGGTGATGGACGAGGAATTGCATCAGGATTTTATCAAGCAATTGTGCTTGGTGAATTTAGTTCAACATTGAATATGAATAATACATTTGGTTGTTTTTATCAAAATTATAATTTAATGAATTTCTTCCTTATTATATAAATCATGATATTCGAAAGTATGATAAGTTTTCTTTATCATTATAAGAGAAAGAATGCATACAGAAAAGATCTATTCTATGGTAAGAATAAGTCGGATGATCATGAGATAATAAAAGATTCTTTAGTTTTGTAATAAATACACTAAGCCGTGACAGATCCAGTTGTTTGAGGATAGCCGCTTTTCTTTTGAACTATTTACTTGACACTTAACATACAACAATTTTGCATTTTACATTATAAAAAAGTAAAAAACATTGATTGGTGATTTATCAGCACTAATGAAAGTCAATGTTGAATAAAAATAAACAAGAAAAAAATGGATAAATACACTTTTGATCGCGGAAATTAAGCATAATTGATCCCGGTTATTAATTTTCGTAAAAAGAATGCACAAATGATCCTGTTTTTTTTCTAAAAATTTTTAATTAGTTATATAATAACACAAGTGATCCCGGAAAAAGCTATTTTTTTTCTCGAATAACATAATTGATCCCTGAATATTAGCAAGTTATGGCTTCGTCTTTCAATCGGAGGCTCATTGAACAGCTATGCGATCTCGCTTTAACTATAGGATTTAGCTGCACAAAAGGGTGTGGGTGGTGTTGGAAGTGGAGGTGGAATTAACTATGGTGAACACCCACATCCACACCCGCACCCAAAGCCACACACCCACACCCACACCCCACAATTATGTGTTATGAGAATTATTACTCTTACAAACGTTTTTATAGTTTTCAGTTGAAGACAATGACTGTTGCCCTTATAGTCTGAGATAACGAGATGGATAAATCGCTCAAATTGACATGTTCTTATTGGATTACAGGAAACAAATCTTATCTATCCTTAATC